AGTTACACATTCAATCCCAGGCCCTTTACCCTATAATCTGTGCGTAATAACAATTTTGGGTCGTCTAAGGGAAGATTCCCCCAGCTGGGAAAAGTGGTGAGTGAAAAGATTCTCAAATTCTGATTCAGGAGAGGATCTCGAACCTCCCATAAAATGCTATCAGAGCATCTGAATTATCCAACTTAATTTGGAAAGTATCGAGTATTGATTTTTTCATATAATCCCGAGATTTTAAAACGATTCAATAGTCCATTTACGTATTTATGAGGATTGCACAGGTGGTTCAAAATCTATGTAAAAGTAAAATATGTTCCCTCCCTCATACCATACCCGGTCCTGTTAAGCAGCAGAGAGCAGTATTATTTCACGAGCAGCGTAGTTTGTTCTAACAAGAATCAAGTGAAATAATGTTCATCCGGAAATCTTTGTCACGATCCGTCTGCCGAGAGTCACATTTTTCGAAGTTAAACCCAAAGAAAATACATGTATCAAAGAAATACATAACGTTATGCACACGTTGTGTTCCTTGATTTCTCCAAGCATTGCATTGTGGTTGAAAAATATTTTTTCGCCTACACTTCAACAGACTGACAAGTTGTCACTGTCGATGGTTGACTCGTCGTCAGCAGGTTGTTTCAAAGAAACTGGATCAGCATCTGCAAATTTCGTATGGACTTTACCCGTATGAAAGATTGGATCACGTTTCCGAGCCGTATTTACAAAAACTAACAATTTCAGCCTTCCATTGTGGATCTTGTTTTTGTCACAAGGAGTGAATATCGAGTATCGGGAGTAGTACGACGAGCGAGGCTAATCTAGATCGACATTTTGGACATGCGTCAGGTCGGATGAAACGAAGGGTAATAATCTACTTTGTATTCCATCATCACACACCTTTCAACCTTTCTTTCCTCACCGAATGCACAAGAATCTGCAGCCACGATGACTCAGATATGTAGGATCAGATATCTATGAGGTTCGTTTGGTTGGATTACCTGACAAACGAGGGCTAATATTTCGAAGGACACATTTTGAACTTGGGTCACAACCTGGGTTGTTGCAAGAAGCCTTATATTATTATTATTATTATATTAACAAGATCTCAGTTCTCTTCTCATAAATGTGTCGTGAACGGCATGGTGAGTAACTTGAGATTTCTGCTCGTACCGAATTGGTTCATTGGAATTGGATTTGTATTTATGTGAATTTTACTCCTTTGTACGAGTAATAAATGGTTGAATGAGAATGGAGAGGTTGTGGAAGGATTTGGTTAATCTAACTCCATCCAGCCATTTTACAAACCAAATTAACCGTATCCAAAATAGTCCCCTGTTCTCAAGTACCCACACTTCATTTCATGCCCTAAAAGTGCTTGACGCATAGCCACGCATTCAATGTTCTTCTGTTATTCGAAGGCCCACTGCATCTTGAGAATTTTGTCCTCTGTGGAAATATGTTTGAGAATTTTTAGACCTAAACACTCTCGATGCAGTGCAAGAAGAGATTCACCGGCTGCATAAATCTGCTCCGTCAACGTCTCCTTCATGCAGAGAGGAAAGTTGAGATTGAGTGCCGGCTGGTGGCTTATAAAATTGGCCTAAAATATACATAACTGGACGGGAAGTTGAGATGATAAGATAGGGAAATCAAACCACTTTAACTTTAAGTGCAATTTTCATCCTTGTAATAAATAGCTTACAGTGCCGACTTCATTTAGCCCGAGCCAGGGACAAAATCCGTTTCGAAATTTGTGTCCGACTTGACCTGACTATTTACTAACTATTACCACACATCGTGGTGGAGATGGACAATTTTTAAGGCCATGCCAATTTTATCGTTATGTGCGCATGCCCTAAAATATGTGTATTCATGTGTATATTAGGTACCTTCTTATTGACTTAAAATTGTTAAGGCCATAATTATTTCGCAAATCCACCCCCCTGGTTGAAAATTTTTCCAATTTCACTTTATAACGTTCATTTCAAGTCTTTAGCTATCTGTGTTCCAATTTTAAGCTTTCTAGCACTAATTAAAAATTTCGTGGCATCAAAACTTTGTGTAACATAAGTGTGTATAAAATTTGAACTCGAACGGCTCATCCGTTTTGGCTCTATCGTGTCTCAGACGGGCAGACGGGAAGAAGACATGGCGATTCGATAAACCTTGACTTGGGCTAGAAAGTAAACTTTTTGAAACAAGTTTTTTGACATTTTCTTAGTCTGAATGAATAATATGGAAAAGTGCACACCGACATTTATTGGCATGTATTACTATTGGAGATATCCTACGAAACCATTCCTCCTCCAACTTGCTAGCAGTCAGTCATTTCTCATTGTCCCGGAATGTACATACTAGGGACTCCCAACTTTGTAAAAAAATCGCTTTTTTCGCTCTTTTCTCAAAACGCTTTTTTGTCAATTGCGATGCAATTTCGTTCTTTTTTCACTCTTTTGGTCCAAAAATAAAATTATCTTAACCTTGATTTTATTTTTAAGCAAAAATATTGGAAAAAATTTCGAAATCACATGCGGAATTGAGAAAAAAGCGTTTTGTGAAAGAGCCAAAAAAGCGATTTTTTTACAAAGTTGGAACTCCTTACTATAATACCGAATACGAACCAATAACGGCTACCAAGATGTTCCAACCTCTCTAAATGTTGTGTGAGAGAAACTGGAGAGGAACAACGGACATTTACAACAAAACTCAGAGTCGAAATGAAAGAGGAATGGGTTTATTGCCACAAGAGGAAAAGTATAAGACGAGGAGTACGAGTGAAAAGAACCTGAGACTTTTTGAAGCCTTTTTGCTTTGAATTGAAACTATTGAAAGTTTTTGCTGTGAATTAACGAGAGAAAAGGAAATGAAATAAAAGATCACTTCTCCTTCTTCTTAAGAATTACCAAGATCAAAGATCTAGACTTTTCAGAACACTTCTTTTCCTTGAGAGAATTAGCCAAGCTAAAGACATTGAGACGAAGCCCCTCACTGTACGTATACCTATGTATGTATACATACCTACTAAACCTACCCACCAACCCATCTACCTTTCTACCTATATACCTTTTTAACAATCCAAGGAAAATCTCAACCGAAACTTTCCATTGTTGTAATTCAACCTTTTCATTCATATTAGCTAATCTCATTTTAGTTTCAAAACGTTATTACTTGTAAGTAAGTTATACCCCAAGAGCACAATGACGGTGGATTTTATTCCTAAAAAATAGTCCTTTAACGCAGGTTGAAAATATATTTTTTGTGTGTAGGGGAGTAGGAATTCGACTTATTCAACTCTTTCATTGAGCAAGGACCAGAATTAGACCCATGAAACGAAATATTACCCACTTTTCCAGGGTCCTCGTCAATACCATATGGCCCACAGGAAAATAAACGACGAGCCTGGTAGAAAAAGTTGAGCGATAGACAAGACCTAGGCCAACAGTCTACATGGAATCTTAGCATAACAAAACGCGTTACACTTACATAAACATGACAATTCCTTCAACATAGCACCCACGAGAGACAGCGGGTCAGTTATTGTAAATCTTGGGCTGGTTGGTTGGGTGGGAACTGAATCGTGGGGAAAAATCTCCCACTGCTCACCAGTGAAGTACAACAACGGATAATATTTCGAATCTTTGTACGGTTTGGGAGAGATGGAGGATTGTCAGGTTGTTCCTCTGTCTCATTAGATTCGGGTTTATTTTATTTACGAGCCCAGCCTAAAGGTCCCTTCGTGTAACTCCAACAAGAAGAAAGCAATAATAAGTGAGCAAGCCCAAGGTGCTCTCGCTGCTATCTGTAAATACTCCACAGGAGGAAAAGGAAAGAATGATCCGAGAGTCCGCGTTGCTCGCTCGGCGTTATTTATTATTATTGATGGCCCCATGTTTTGATTCCTCTGCACTTACACCACACAGTGCCCAACTTGTTTCCTTTTATGCGCTGGGTGTAAAGATCTTTTATGATCTGACTTCTTTTGGTTGGCATCCAATCCATTATGGATCACATCTCCAGCCTGCCTCGGTTTCCTCTCGTAATGTGGAACTTATGCCATTAGGACGACTTATAAAATACATGCATCATCGATGCAACAATAAAATGACTTGTTCGGCCTTTATCTCCAGCTCGACCTCAAAAAATGTAAGGGATCGTCGTCGTCGTGGCGTAAATATGGTAGAATCGATTCCCCACTTGGGTACTCAGAGACCAGTAATGGCTGCAATTGCACACATATGAATGACTCTCCGAAGCTCCTAATTTCTTACAAAGGACAAAAAAGGGCTGGAACACTAATGGAAGTTGAAGTCGAGATTAAACAGCCATCCGCATGGACATGGACTGGTTGTTGCAGTATTCACAAATGGAAAAACACCAATTTGTGTCTCTTGGTGGGACAAGTTAAGTGATCGATCAGAGGGGGAGATGGATGGGGAGAGAAAAATCGGATGCGGATGGAAGTCGCAAAGTGAAGAGATCCATTTCCTTCCTCCTTTTGCAGCCCAACAATAGCCAATAAATGAAGCAATGATTTCCAAATAATTCCAGAAACGAGTAGCAGAAATAACGGCCATCCAAACTAGATTGGAGGAACGAACGACTCGTGCATTAGCCGATTTTGAGATGAGATCAGGATCAGAACTTTCAACCTCTCTCTATTCCACCAACGATAAGAAGCAGATAGGCAACCATATTGCTTCCAAAGTTGTGGGTGGGTGGGTACGTGCGTGTTGCACACAAATTGACAAATCCAATACGATAGATATTTAGCAGTAGGAAAGTTTCGAGGGGAAACAATGACTTGTGAAAGCAGCAGAATTTTATAGTGCCGTTCGTTATTGGAGCAAAAGTACGTTGGATTAATCTCCTCATCAAGAAGGGATTTATTATACGAAAGGGTCCTCGATGATTGTGGAATGTATGTTTGTGTCAAGTACTCGGTTAAGTTTGCGTGCGATTTGTATTATAATCTAGAGAATGATAAGTCTGAAATTTGGGCTCACCAGCAGAACTTCCAGTGTTAGAGATGGTCACCCAAAAGTCAATCTAGAAATCCAATCGGAAATCGGAACGAATTAGTCAATCAATCTATGCTTAAACTGGTCATTTCAGAGTCAAAACAAGTGGTTACCGTTTTCTCCGGACCCAGCTCCTCATAGTCCCATTTCTTCTTGACCCGCACCGCCCCATTTGGCTCAACTATAAAATATATATTTGCATATACACATCCCACCATTCCTGTCACATCGCTTCGTACATTTGGAAAATAGACTTACCGGTGACCCATGGATTCTCATCCCTGATCTTGAACGTTTCAAACTCATTTTCTCTCGTCAACTCAAAGACCACTTTGCCCTCTTGCTGTCCATCCGACTCGGGAAACTCTTTCCTCATTGTCGGTCTCACTGCACGAGTTACTCGCCGTTTAGCTCGACGGTACGAAGGTCCACGATTCCGTCTGGGTAGGTCAACATCTTGATCAGAATCCATGTCGTCATCGTCGTCGTCGATATCATCGTCTCCATCTGAGATTTCATGAATTGGGTACATTATAAATATATGGCAATTTTGGGGTAATTTAAAATTCCGTTTAATAAAAAGTCGCGTTGCTTACCCAGTATGACCACAACCACCCCCTCGTCTGGGTCTTGCTGGGCCAGGACTCCTTCCAAGTACTCTGGTGAACCAACCTCAATGAAGACGGAGGCATGTTGGCTGGCGAAGAGTGACGGGGTGCGAACATCATGAGCTTGTACTTCCAGTTGATACGACTGTTCTTCCGGTTTGTTCACCAGCAGGATCTCTCCAGTTTGGGGGACAATGACAAAGGTGGGGTTGTTGTTGGTGAGTCGGTAGGAAACGTGGTCACCGTCAGCATCTTCAGCGTGCACTTTCCCCGCAGGGCTGAATCTCGTAGTATTCGTTGGAATAGCCCATCGATACGTGGTTTTGCTGAAGATGGGTGCATTGTCATTCTCATCCAAAACAGTCACAGTGATTTTAGTGACGGCAGTATCCACCCCAACCACGTCGTATGCCTTGATCTATATCACAAAATGATTGTGAAGCCCATGTTAATATTGAAAATGACTCATTAACACATTTGGAGTGCAAATTTGTTGCTGTGATTGAACCGGGAGCGAGTAACAATTGGCAGTTTATATGTTGTTACTAGATTTTTGAAATTTAAAATTAATTACGTTTGTTACGTACCATGAGCGAGTATGACTTTTGCTCTTCTCTGTCCAGAACTTTGGTGGTGAATATCTCAACGGCGTGGTTGCTCGAATTGGTCTTGGCGTGGAAGTAGCCTTTCCCATCCCCTCCGATAATTTCGTACTTGATTTTTCTGTCGGGGTCACTCGTTGGACGGACCAACGTCTTTAGTTTTAAGGGGCTGCCAACTGCAGAGTTTTCCAACACACTCGCCTCATACGAGTCCTTGAACTTGAGCATGTTGTGGCTATCGAGGAAGGTGGGAAGTAATAATTAGTAAAATTGATGATTTTTTAGAACCCCCGTCTCTATCGACCATGACTGTTTGTTGATCGTCTAATTCCTGCCTGACCTTGTGTTAAGTCTACAGTAAAAACGAGCAAAAATACCTGTCGAGGACGTAGAGCTGGACCGTGTGGTTGGTTGAGACGTTTGACTCGGGCAGTTCTTCCCTCACAACAAGTGACACGGGGTGGTCGATGAGATCTGTCATATTTGCTGTGCTCATAAGAATGCCGTTGTCCAGAACCGTGAAATAATCTAAAATATAACGAATGTGAAGACAAACAGGGCATTTCATTACGTTTCGACGGATTGTTTAAGCTGTGATTGTGATCAATTCTCAATTGAGAATAAGGTTCAGACGAATGAACATCAACACCTATGGATGGATGAATGGGTGAAAGGACGGAATGAGATGAGCTTACCAGAATAGTCATTGGGCATAAGGTGGAAAACATGGCCGGTTGAGCCGGCTCCAAATTTTTTGATGCTATACCCAGGAAACACGTCGTGGGGAATTTTCACGACATTCCTTCTGACTATGGCCACCCCCATGGCGGATGGCACTGGGCTGAGTAGACATAGCAGCAGCCACAAACAACTTAAATAGCCCACACCACTCGATGCACTTTTACTTGCACTTGCACTAGTGTGGGGAAGCAAAGACTGCGGCGGCGAGGAGGAGGATTGAGAGTTATTGGTCCTTTTTGGCAGCTTCATTTTCGAAATCTCTTTTCTCATACTTATTTTACAAAACACTGCTAATTGACATCTTTACCGGAGCATCTTCTTCCTAACCGTCGGCGATTATTTTTGAGCTAAACGCGACACTTGCTACACAAACTTTCTCATCTGTTTCCAATTTCCCGAGGGAGGAACCATCCGATTCTAGTTCTTCTCGTGTACATTTATTTTCAGGTTCAATTTCACCACTCTCATTTTTCCTCGTTTCAACTAATTATCCTGCTGAATGAATGGCACGATTGGCATCGAGTACGTATGCACGTACAGTAATCCTCTCGCCGTAAAGATTCCTCCCACAACTCACAACATATAAATGGCAATACTTTACACTTTCCTCCCAAGAAAAGCAAACAGGAGTCGTCGTGAATGCGTCGTGTCGCTCCTTTCGGCTTAACAACACCACCACCACCAAAAAACATCCAAAAAAGATCCGATATTTTTTTGTTCCATAAAAAGGAAGAAATGTTTGAGTAAAAATAGCACGAGTCGTCACGTTCACTTTATTTCCCACCACGCACCTCCTCCTACTCGTACATAAGCTTAAAGTTTTGACATCACTTGAAGAATACTCACTGCACTGTCAGTGTTTTAAAGTTTGGTTTCGTAATAATCATGCTATTCTGCACTGAATCACTGGAACAGTTATCGTGTGGCAGCTGTACCAGGATAGCTTAATATTCACTGCGACAGATTCATTTTTCGTGTTTTATGATGGCGATGATGCTCACCAACTCTCAACCACGAAGACAACGAAAGGCCGATCGTTAAAGTGAGATCGGGAACTTGGCCAAAGTTGGTGGTAATGACTGCGACGACTGTGAAGACGGGAAGAGGAAGACGTTCCTGTTTCCTCACTAAATTCGGTAATCCACTTTATTTTCGTAGTTCTTGTTGTAAGACCACTCTCGATCCATCTCACTTTCTTTCTACGAGGAGGAAAAGCACATTTTCTTAAATGACTCAATTTCCATCCTAATAAATGATAAAAGGTTGGCTGGCATTCTAAAGGGGATTAATAATAGAAGGCTTCAGCTTGGCAATTAATGGCTTATTTTCCTGGATAAAACTCGTCTCGTAGAGTCCAAAAGTGTAGATAAATAACTTTTAAACTACCACTTAGCACATTCCCATTGATTTGTTAGGATGGTCAGTTAATTGAAAAATTGCAGTGGTTTAATCCCAATAAGTCACCCAGTCTTAATTCTATTTAGGAGTGTATCCTTAGACTAAGGAGATCAAATGTTATCTTAATTTTCGACCCAGTTATCCTGGCCTATTTCATAAGTGAAAGAGATATCTGGTTATGTAATCGTACGAATAAATGAACATAGTTCACAGAAAGGTATTGCCTTCTATCTTACTTTCATTTTCTGGAAAATATTGATTTCGCCCACAACCACTCGCAGGCTTATTTCTCCCTTCAACTCATTCAACTTTAATTGTTCAAGTAGGTTAAATTGGCGAAAGACAAGGTTTTCATGCATGTTTTTCTCGCTAATAATCCGGTTAATTTTAGAACTCGGCATTTCACGACAACCAAAGCAATTGTTTACTTTGAGGACGACATGAAGTACACGAAATGGGCCATCCTAGAAGAGTGACAGGTTCGTCGGTGACATTGCGCAGCAGTTTTCCAAGTTTCAAATTACATTTTACTTTGCTTACTGCGCGATAGCTTTTAAAAAGGATTGAAGAAATTAAAACTAAATGCGCATATTAAATAGCAAACAGTGTGACAAGAGTCGTTTGTGTTATTTTATGTTCAAAGGTACGACATTTTTATGAAGCCCTCTTTCTCCTCTCTTTCTGTCTCTCATTTAATACGCAAAATCTAAGGCAAAATAATTAATAGAAGACCTCGCAAAGTTTAAATCTCAAGGAACTTGAAACTGAAGAAAACAATATGCATTGCGTGTCCAGTAATTAGGTGGCTGAATTAATGTTGACTGGTCATTTGCCATACAATATACATACATATGTCCCGTATGTTCTAATCGTGCATAAGTGGGATTATGGGATCGAGTGACCTCGAAGTAGACTTTTACTTCTAAACGACAACTAGGCCCACACCATCATCACACAGTTATTAAATGGCCTACTCGAACTCCCTGTACGGTGACACGCAACGTGCTTGCTGTTCATTATTTATTCCTTCAAAAGCTGCCCTGTTTCGAGTTGCGAATTCTAATCTCACTCCAATTTAAAGAGCTCTGAAATTACATAATTTACACAATTTCCCAAACACGGACTCAACAACTTCAGCTTTCTTTGTGATGTTCTAACTCTGCATATATTAGGGAAACACGCCATATTAACCCGGCCAAGTCAGATCGATGCCATAATTCCTCATTATCTACTTCCACTTCGTTTTGCCAACTTCTTGTGTACGAAAACGTTTCCATTTAAACTAATTAAGCTACGTATTCCACCTGGACAAGGACTATGTATTCTAAACATTTGTTGTTTGCTTGCTCCGGATGTGCATCCATATTTTTTTAAATTAAATACTTTCCGAAAGTACACTTTTACTTGGTTTTGCATAGCAGATGTTAAACGTCGGAGAGAATGACGACAGCTGACACCCTGGTCACATGCAGTCGGCATAAAATGTGGAAGGATTTGCAAAATTTTCTTCGTGTTGGGCTAAAGTTGAACAGAAGGAAATCGTGCTGAAACAGAATGTGGGAAAAGTCGCCTTGTCTTGAAGAAGTGCTGGACGGAATGGGATTACATTTTGAGATGAGAAGAAGCCGACTCATGTTTCTGATGCTATGCGACCCTACTACAGCACCCTTCCAGCCTAGTAATTCTTCTTCCTCTCTCCTCTTCTGCTACCCGAACCGATTCTCTCTCCGGGTCGAAGTGACTTTCCTCCACCCGATACACACATGCGTGCGTATCGTAAGTATGGATGGAGAAGTCGTTGCCCCTGCTGCCACTGCCTCCGAATGCACGGTTTCGTGGTGGACCTGCTGATAAATACTACACTCTCCGGGTTTTTTCCGCATTTTGGACAAAAGCCCGAAAAATCCCAGGAAGGAGTCCTTTCATCACGCAAGCACATACATGCATGCTTTTTGTGTCCTCTGCTATAGAAAAAGAAACTATTCTTCTTCAGCATAAGTATGTACGTGTTTCAACTTTTGCAGAAATTCAATTTCCCAAATTTAATGATAGTTCTTCCATATGAATAAGTAATGCATATTTTTTGTCGCAAATGAAATCATCAAATACTAAGAGTAGGCTGACATTATGACATGCCAATCTCATTTCACTTGATGTCTTACTTTTATCAAATTACATTAGCTATTGGGACTGAAAAGTCGCAAAGTAATTCGGCGAATGGACTTGTTTTATGTATGTTAGCGAATTGGAAGACCTGGAAGACCATTGATAATATACATATGATATATCATAATGATACCACTGATAAAGACCAGGAAGACCTGCTCTGCATGATGCTGGCCCGACCGATCTGGTTGTTGTTATGCAAATGTCAACATCAATGAAGAATCGACATACAAAATTTGTTTCGATCCATCTCACTGATTTTAAGTAGTGATGTTTTTGATTTGGTAGTGAAAAGGAAAATTAGCAGGGCTACTTCCTAACAAATCCTTCCTTAATAAGGCAACATAAGTCTCAATTGAATATTACTCCTCCACGTTAACCTCTTCTTTCGCCAGTATGCTTTTTTACATCTCATAGCCCTATTCGCAGCCTGAAATACGCAATTAATTCGATGTGAACAATTAGAACCAGCAAAGCAAACATCAATGTCAAAAATATGGTAACAGCAATCTCAATTAACTCGTGAAATTCACAATTTAAAATAATTTAATTATGTATTGCCTTTAGATTAGAATGAGAAGTATTGATTTTTCAGTAGAGCGTTAATCCTAATTTTGATAAACTTTGTCTAATTTGTCTGTAAAAGGATTACGCCGATCCTTTGGAAGTAGTTTTTCTTGACAATGAACAATATGAACCCTTTTACTTTCCTTATCTCATGTAGCCTATCCATACTAAATACCCACCATGATGCACCTACCTATAACCAACCGCCTGCACTTTTCTTTGACTGCGAGGGGACGAAGGGACAACGTTGGGACTCGGCCACAAATCAAGAAATGACCTTATGGAACGCGGAATACCCAGTCTTTTCGCCTGTGGGACGCGTACCTGGGAAGAAAATACCCAAAAGAATGGTGCATTTAGCACTAAGAATGCAACACTATGATTGGTTCACGCACAACCATAACCATCACCCTGCGAAAAAGACACCGAGCAGGGAAGAGAAATTCATCATAGTGGTGGTGGTGGCGGTGGTAGTGGTAAAAATCGTGTGAAGGCAAGTCCGCGATATATACAAGATCGCTCATATATGAGAAATGACAAATGAAGGAACCATAAATCCTTCTATTTGTCTCGTAAAGTCACACACCACATTTACACAAATATTTATAGTGCACGCACTTCACATCTGTGCAAAATTCCAGAAATCTGACTCCAACATAACTCACACAAATCTTAGGCAATATTAATGCAACGTATGAATGAGATGCTATTTTACAAACGTGATCAACTCCATAATTAGATGGATGGAAAATGCAAGTGAAAGACATAATATCTTGTTATTAACCGTCTTGTTATTCCTTCAGCTTCGTAATATTATCATTATTAAAGGTGCTGCTGAGAACAAAAACTAACAAACCAAATTATTGAGAGGCTTGTTTATTACGAAGCACATCAACGGTATGTATGCATTGGCATGTCCCTCATCCCTGCCTGTAAAAATATTCTGATCCACGCAATAATCTCTGTAAGATCTTATCGATCTCGTCTTCTTTCATTCTACATCCCATGCGTGCACTTCCTTACATAAGATGAGGCTCACACAGACACAATGCTATCCGCCTACAAACCCTACACGTGCGTTTTGGTATAACTTCTTGAAAACCCTATTGTGATTTTCGTTTAGAGAAATTGTATTCTTGTTCGTTTATGCTGTAGCGTCAACCAAACCGGTGTTAATCTTACCAGTTTCTACGATCCATTACGATTTCATTGGAAATCATTTATTTATCTTGGGTTAAAAGTAAGAGTCACAATTGCAAATCAAATAATGCAGTTTGCCAGGAACAAGATGTGTTTGCAACAAGAAATGCATATACATAGCATTCACTACTACATATGTACCAACACACTACTTTTGTCAACTTGACATTTGCAGAAGCTGCATCCATACGACATTAACGTCGACGCAGAGGTTGATCACCGCACTTTATTGAATATATATACATAAAGTCAAGAGATGAGATGTGTAATTCTTCGCACAAACTTCACTCTTGTCGTCGTCATTTTGTAATTGCAGTGTGCAATGAAGCACAGGCAGAAGAGCGACACGCGTTTCTGCAACACCTCTTCCAATCAATCGAACTCCATGGCTCGATTGAAAAAATAACCACTTTACTAAATATATATTTTTTTTATTTCTTAAAAATCTTTATAAACCTTCAACCAAACTTTGGAATGCCAACCAACCGCCCAGGTGAGGAGCGAGAAAGAAAACTTGCATGCAACCTTCAGCAGTTGTATTACCTTCCGATTCAAACGTGAAGAAACGCACGAGAGTGAAACAGATCCTGAGAGTGCACGATGATCTGCAAGACTGATGAGGATTTTCAGAGTTTGTTTCCTCAACTCGGCCCACGGAATATGAACTCATGCAATACGAGAGACACGGAAAAAGACCCTCCTATACACACTTGCACCATTCCATGTATTTCGTCGTCGTCGTCGGTACCATGGAACGAGAAGAGGGCAGTATACAAACACATACCCTGTGTGTTGGTGGGAGCAACAATGGCATCGAAACCTGTTTCTCATGGAACGCGAACGAGTATGCAGATGTATATTCTGCCCATGCATCAACAATCGGCGTCTCAGGAGGGGAGCTTGCGAGGTTGATAATAACAGATCTTGGTGCCCTTTGGATATGTGGTAGGGACCCATGAGTGTACTAAAACCCTGAAGTAGTTTGACTCCATGGCCACATTTGCGCCCGCCACACCCACTCAAAAATGCCCAAAAAACGCTTTCACTCGAGTTTTCACTCACTCAAATCCACGTCAAAAATCCAATTTTACTCGGATTTTGAAATTTCTTTCACCATTATACTCCCAGATAGTTGCTTTCTTCAATCCAATATCAAACTCAATTTTATTGATGATTATTTCGCAAACATAATTTGTTTTGTTGATGACTACAACAATGCTCATTCAGAATTTTAAATTTTAAAAATACTAAAAATTTCTAAAAAATTGAGTTTGATATTGGATTGAAGAAAGCAACTATCTGGGAGTATAATGGTGAAAGAAATTTCAAAATCCGAGTAAAATTGGATTTTTGGCGTGGATTTGAGTGAGTGAAAACTGGGGTGAAAGCGTTTTTTGGACATTTTTGAGTGGGTGTGGCGGGCGCAAATGTGGCCATGGAGTCAAACCACTTCAGGGTTTTAGGACACTCATGGGTCCCTACCACATATCCAAAGGGCACCAATATCTGTTATTATCAACCTCGCAAGCTCCCCTCCTCAGTTCAGGATATACCAATTTATTTGGCACGATTGGGTTTTGTCATCATTATTTTGTATCTCGAATATTTTTGAGCTAAACGAATCTGAATTTGTCGTTTTCATTTGATGCACAGAGTGGTAGCAATCGCACATATTTTAGAAATGAAATTGGTTTAGATGAAAACCAAAATCATCAAAATCCAGGATCAAAATATTCTCGGCCAACGCGATGTATCAATGCTCCGAAAACTGCATCTGCCCAGCACCTCAAAGCCCGAGTTTCCGAACGAAAGTGAGAGAGAGAGGAATATCGTGGGTGCATTGTGAAACATTTGATATTTCGAATAGCAACACGGCTATTCGACGTGCTACTACACCACGGGTTTCTCCCACGAGTCTCCGACATCATCTCAACGCGTTCGTCTCGTATTGCATCGGGCGAACGGACGGACGTAGGGTTTGTGTTGGTGGTGGTGGAGTTTGGTTGGTGGGGAGCCCCACAAAAAATCCTTCGAAACCGGTGCTTGTTTTATTAGACTCCACGAGGGCTCTTCCGCAGAGGGCAACTACCCCCGATGCAAGGATAACTTGTACAAAAGTGCGGTGCTGCTATATGGAAAAGTGGCAAAAGTTGCATGATACGAATACCGGAATAAACGATGCTGCTGCTGCTGGAGTCTTTAATGGAAGGGTTGTATGAAATGGGATTGCCTCCAGTCATTTCTCCCACACCACCAGCAACAAGATTTCTCCAAAGAGTACATACATTGTTTGTCCAACGAATTATCCCAACAACTTGCCGTCTTTCTCTTTTTGCGACCAGATCGCCGATCTTCCTTCGTTTGGAAGAGTTTTCGGATAAAAATAGATTCCGTTCGCCTGCAATAAATAATGAACGCCCATGCATTTCAATAAATACCTCTGTCGATTACTTGAGTTGGGGTGAAAGCATATGATGACTGCACTACATCAATTTATATGGGATGACTTTTTTTATCAGCATTTATTTAGTCATTCATCATATCTGGCTAAATATGTAAAGAGTGATTTTTGCAGGAATTTCCTCCAAAATCCTAAAATCCTGAATAGAATCTCAACTTGAGATCCTATTCAGTGTTCATACACTTGTGCAATACACCTTTATTTTGTGTGTAGTCAGCATTCAGCAATATTCAAATGAGAAATGCTTTTACACACTTTTTGTATGTTACAGGCAGGATGCACTGCATGGATTTCCATTGCGGTTTGTACATCAACTCCCTGGTCAAATTTTATTAAAGCCACTCAAATATGTATTTATGTACATATACAAACGTGTGTATATGTAGCCAACTAAACATATTAACAGTTTTGCAGAGAGAATCCTTTATTATTTGTAAAAAAAATACAAACCCGAGGCGACAAAGTAAGGCAAGACATGCAGTGGTTCACCTGTACATGTACTACGTATGTCACAATCACGTGTATAATTATTTTGCATATTTTACGATCACATTAGCACTGCGTATCTAATAGAGTTAAATCAACGTTTACTTCTAAAAAATAACGGTGATGTGATAAGTCAAAGTTAGTGTCGTATTATTGACGGAAATGCGCATACATTTAGTAGTTAATTGGTTTAGGAATTTAGTTAATCTAGAAAAATACGCACGTTATTTATTTTAAACGCTTTGATTGGTGCGTAATTAAATAATTTACACTTCACATCTTTGAGAATATTATCGTCTTAAATTTTCATACAAATGCCCCTTGCTAGGCTCTGCTTTCTTTCCGTGTAGTTTTCATTTTGGGTGGGATACTGCTTTCGGTGGAGATTTTGAGTTTTCAGATCTGCATGCCGGTCACTGTTGCCTCGACTCTCTACAGTTTCATTAAATGTAACTCTTCGTCCCATGAATGCTGCAGATATTGGGGATGTGAACGGTCGTTGGTGAGCTGACGATGATAACGCTTGTTGAGCTAAACTTTCGGACGGACGTGGAGACGAGCTTGAAGCAGGTCGCTTTGTATACGATGACATTGTGAAACCTAACCTGTTGTCAGTTTGATGAATAGTTGAAGTTGTCCTAGTGCTTACCTATGGCATGCAAAAAGTTCGAAAGTTCTATCAGAAAAATTGTTAAACTTTCGAAAGTACAGGGGTGGGACAGAAGAAGGAGCCACTAGAATTTTAGGGGTGGCGTGTGATGCACAGTCGCGGCATTTTCAAAATTTGCATATGTCATACCCAGATAGTTAACGAAAATTTAGCACTATTCAGATTTTCCCTACGGTTAAAAATGCCCCTACAGCACCCCCAGAGTGCGAGGCACGCATAAAAGTGTTTTCCAACGACATATTGAGCCAGAGAGCGATTGTTAGAAAATTTGCTGCAAATGGATTTATCGTCGATCGAAAGTACGTTTCTAATGTACTTAAAAACGTTGGAATCAAGCGAAGGGAAAAAGCGGTTAGAGCTCCACCCCCACGGAAAGGATACCCAAGATCCGCTTGAACCAAAAAGTGTATCCGGAAAATCAATTTTTCGCCAAAACGGTAAATCCACCAACTAAAAGTTGCATGGCGAAAATGTTAAACGTTAGTAGGAGAACATTTCTAGAGTCATTCACAATGACCTACAGCAAGTGACTCGTAGGAAATCCCGAGATCATGCTCTCAACCCAACTTATTTCTCACAAAATAGCAGCCTACGCGAACGATTTTTAAAAAAGTTTGGGTATAACAATTATTCCTACTATAGAAACTCTCGTTAGTTCCTCTGATATCAATCCGATGTTTTTTTTGGATTCGGGTACTTAAAACGGAGCCTTCTTGAAAGGAAAACGCTCACGTTTTGATGCACTTTGGAAAAGTGTTCAGGACGAGTGGTGCAGAATCACTCTGAAAATGGTGTCAAAGGTCATGACTGGTTGGAAAAAGCGACTGAGGCTCGTTAGATAAACTAAAGGGCTTCACACTGAACCAATTACCAAACTTCACAAACGAATAATAAGGCCGCAATAAATTTAGGCAAAGTGGCTCCTTCTTCTGTCCCACCCCTCTGTATGTGTATGTACCACAGTTGATGGAGAATTGTCACTTCCTTTTTGAATAGCGTCTCTCGAAGATTTATGTGAGTTGTGGTGTCGATGGGTAGTTTTGTAGGTATTTGCATTAGAAGAAATGATTTTTGCATTAACTCCATGTTTTCCTGAAGACTTAACATTTGGATTCTTATTACAATTATTCATAGAGCGGCGATTACTACTGAGTTTCCCTGCTTGCTGAATTTCTGGTTCATATCTATCGGTCTGTTCGTCTTCCCCAATTTCGGCATCGTCGTTCTCATAGCATTCGTAGGAAGAGTCGCTTTCTTCGCCCCTGGATCTTTTCGTTTCGTTCATTACTGAGGTTTGAGACTGTTCACTACGTTGGAAGTCCTCAGTTATGGGGAACGCCATGTTCAATTGGAGGCGCTTCTTCAGTACCTACAACCATCAAATCCCTGTGTAAACTACATACATATATATGATCAGAGCTATCAAAATTAATTAAACATATTCTGTAGTACGTCCAAATCTGCATTTTCGTCAATACTGTGAATGAACCTATATCCATCAGTAAGTAACTCGAGCGACTTTGCGTGTTTAGAAATCTCAATCTTAAAGAATGCTGCTAGAGAATCTTTCAAATCTATCAAACGCTGGTGTTCAAACTTGATAACTTGGTCCTGTGACAATGACGTGAGTCTGGAAAACTCCGCCATTGCATTCTCATACTGCTTCTCAGCATCAGGCTGCATACATATAAAAGTTTAATATTATTTTAGTAAGATTATTGTTGCTCCGCTATAACTAATTTTCTTCTATGTTCACACACCCTTGCATGTCGATAGTGAGGAACAGAGTTTGCCTTTTCACTAAACGCTTTCACCAGCTTCTTTTTTGAGAGAACTCGGGACTGAGCTGTCATTGCGCTGGTCACCTCCCCCTTGACAAACTTGCAAATGTTCTTGTAATTCGACAAGTTAGGCAGCACCTTCTTCTCTACACGAAGAATGGCCGCCGTTCTGAAAGATAAATTATGCAAGGACATAAGCTCAGCCGTGCTCATTAAACGGTGAGCATTATGGTTGTTCAGTATTTTTTGTGCAACTGATGATCGCCAATTTTCCCAAGAATTTCTCCTGCGAGTTGCACTGCATAGTGAGATGTGGTTGTTTTGAAGGGTTCGACATGTCTATACTTCATCAGACATTTTGCAATATCGTCGCTTTTGTCACGGACTCTGAATACAATAAGAAAGCAACGAGGTAACAATATAAATCTCATGTACATATGTATGTAAATTGATAATTAAACTAACAAGATATTCTTGGCGTTGTATTCAGTCAACGTCAAAGATAATTCCTTGAAATGCTTTTGAAGAGAACTAATTCGATCCAGAATCTCCTTGTAATTTACACTACTTTCACTAAAATTGGAATGCAATGAAACTTAATATATAAAGGGTGTTAATAAAGTCCGATCCCATGCATTTTTTGGAGCGTGGTTGTTACAAATTCAGCTGGAACTTTTGAACCAGTGAAGTTATTTATTTCAAATTTTTACCATGGGAGGAACAACTAAACGTGTAAGTCATGAGAATCTTAGAGTTGAGATACAAACATTGCATCAGCAGGGGCTTAAACCTACAGAAATTGTGCAAAAATTGGGCTGCAGCCGCAGAACTGTTTGGAAATGGAAGAATACAAATTTTGTCCACGACAAAAAGCGACCAGGGCGACCCAGAAAGGTGTCACCTACCACAAAAAGAATGATTAAAAACAGACTTTGCAAGAAAACCGGTAGTTCATTACGTAATTGAGCAAGGGAGTTAAATGACTCAAAACGCTATAAAGAGAAGAAGAAGCAAATTAACTGTGTGACCGTGCAAAAATTTGTGAAAACTACGAAGTGGGGTCACACAGCTTACAAACTAACCAAAAAAACCTCTCATGTCACAAAAATATATCGATGACCGTCTGAAATTTGAAGAACTCCTTCAGAAAAGTGCCCATTTGAGTGAAAAAAGACTTGGTGAAGAATTGCGCAGTCACATCCTTTGGACTGACGAATCTATTATTGAACTATATCCAAAATTGAACCAACAAAATGTTCGTTACAGGACAGAAAACAAATCGGATGTACCATCAAGAGCGATCCCAAAATTCGGGCTTAAAGTTATGGTAGCGGGTGGATTTTGTGCACGTTGCGTGACCCCTCTACATATCATACCAAAAGGCAAATCAGTCAATGCAAAGCATTATATGGAAAAAATATTACCTATCTATTTCGATAGCATGGGGAACAAGGAAATATTTCCGAATGAAAGAAAAATAGTTTTCATGCAGGATGGTGCTATAGCCCATACAGCAAAAGCGAGTTTGAGTCTCATCAAGACGCAAGTTTCAACGGTCTGGAGCAAGGGGGTGTGGGCCGCTAACGGCCCAGATTTGAATCCCCTGAAGAACCAGTGGTCCATACTTAAGGAAAATGTATACAAAGAGCCACAACCCCGGACGAGGGAAGAGCTAGTAAAAAAAAGTTCAAGATGTATGGAATTCGATTTCCAGAGGCACATTGGAAAAATTAGCACAGAGCCTTAAACAAAGAGTTGAGGGCATGGTTAAAGTAAATGGTAACAAGACCAAATACTAAGGTAAATATGTCGAACATTTTTTGTAAGTATCACGGGTAGTTTTTTTTTATACTAGCCTTCACTTTTTTACAGGAAAAATGGGATCGGACTTTATTAACACCCTGTATAATATAGCCTTCACTTCTTTAAATTAGTCCATCTTGTATTCATTCATGTTCTAGCCATACCTAGTTAGTTGCCGTACCGTTGTTGAATTTGAGTCGTCCATAATGAAATGTACAAAGTTCTTGACAAATGGATATATTAAATACCTACCTATCACCTGATAGTTCGGCTCATGCAAAAATCGAAATTATAGTAGCTGAACTAGAGAATATTTCAGTTTTCGAGTACAAAATACATACTTTATTACATTTATTCTTTCACATAACAACACGTAAATATGTATTTTTTTAAATCGTTGGACGAAGTATTACTTGATTTCAAATACATATGTATGTAACACTTATTGCTTTTACGTAGTACTTTATAACAACACGAGACGAGTGTGATCACTCATGCAGAGTACTCCGACCGACCTGTCGAGCAAAACATGTCAATTGAATGAATTTAAATATTTATATAGAATTTTAACAAGTATAAACTGCTATCATAAATAAAGTAATGCAAAAATGTAACTGATGTATGAATCACTTAAAGAATAGATCCTCAGTGGGATTAACAACAGTTTTTTATATCGCCTCGAATGATTAGAGTATCGCGTATATACAAACAGCGACCTCTTGCCCAGACATCAAGGCTCAAGAATTGAGTGTCGGCAGGGATCGAACCCACGCCGCTTAGCCAACCATTTTCCCTACTGCCCCAAAAGTGCGAGTACGAGTACACGAGTATTTTTCAACCCTAAATTCAAGATTAGTAAAAACTCACACGTATAGATAATTTTCCGGACAAATTATCGTCTGGCGAAATTGGTGTCCATTGAAAACTTTGATCTTTGAATATTATAAGCGTTTGATCTGACTCGTTGTTCCACACTACCAGTGCTAGCTGCATCCGCAAGTTGTTTGCTATATAAAAAACAGTTGTAAAACCTGAATTCAATTAATAATATAAATGCATTAAATACTCCAGTGAAAGATTGACATGCCATACCTTATAAACGTTGCATGTTTGTTAGTTTTTCGATTCTTTTCAAGCAATTCTTGCTCTTTTAGAATTTCCTCCCGATGTTTTTCTACGATGCGTTGTCTCTCTTCGTCTCTTTCTTTTGCGTTTCCCATCATTTCTTGTCGCCTACGTTCCATCTCATCTTCGTCCATTTTTTTCTTCGTGGAAGAGTGTGGCCTGTTGGATGTTAAATTAACCTCTCTTCTAATGCTACCGTACCTATTATCGCGACTTGTGGAAGTCCTTGGATATCGCTCGTCGACCACTTCTCTTCTGTAATCTCGCTGACTCCTGTCACAGTCCCTTTTATCTAAACGATGATCACAGTGATGTTGAGGAGACCGAGAATGAGATCGACTTCTTCTCCTCCTTCGATATGAAGTATCGGTAGACCTGGTTCTAGTTTGTCGTCGTCTATCGTCTTCATCATCGCTATCAGAATCATGACGTCGTTGCCTTTGTCCTTTTTCATTGGTGGGTTTATCTTTGTGGTGACCTTTAGTTGCTGTTGAAGATTGGGAACCCAATAATTTGGTAATGTCTTTTGAATTTGTTAAGGACTTGAGTAACTGGTTAATTTCTTCATCGCTGCTACTGCTAGTATCATTGTCACTGCTATTCTTGTCCTTCGTTTTGTGCTTTTTAGTTTTAGATTTCTTAACCTTTTTACTTTTTTTGGATGTAGAACTCTCTTCAGAAACAATGCCGTGTTGTTGTTGGATTTTCTTTAATAAAACTGGGTTCTGTAGTATCTGCTTGCGATATTCTTGTTCCTTTTTCTGGATTTGGTATAAAGGGTCATCTTTAATTTTCCTGACAACATCGACTGCTCCACCAGTTCCTGACGGTTTTAAGATGGACTGAGGAGTCAAGTCTAGCAGTGGAAAGGTTACAATTTATTAATTGCGTTAGTATATCTATATTTACCGGATTAAATACTTTAAATTTTTTGATACCTTTTTCAGCTTCTGATAACCAAGCACTATTCCCTTTTTCTGCTGCTTCCAGCATTTGAAACGATTTGTCAACTTTCCTCCCCAAAAGATAGTCTTCTCGATTAACAAGAGCACTCGGACCATCGTACATCCAATCCAGTGTTTTCCCCTGTAAAATCAATTAAAGTTCCTAATAAATAATTATCTTATTGCAAATTTTGTGCTCGTCTTGACTATTTAGACATTTAGAGTCTAAATTTTAGACTGCAAATTAATTACGTATTTAAATATTATGGAATGGACAAACCTGTTCGGGCTCCAATCGCTCCATTTTTAGGTCTAAAAATTGTCACTGCAAACTATTAGAAAATTTGACGACAGGTGAAAGTGAAAACTTTTGACTGACAAAACAAATCACTACTACATACAAAAAACTATTTTTGTAAAAGAACAGACAACTTTTTATAAAAATATCTTAAAATTTATGCACGTTATAGAACATTCAGTTTTCGCACTCACTGACACAGCACACTTTAGCTTCCTTCTCACTCATAAAGCGATTTCAACTGCTGAAGGAATCCGGCATTTGGATTTGCATGAGGTCTCGCAGCTTTAATTTGTTTGAAAACAGTTTCAAATTTCAAGTTTTCCATCTTCATCAAGTAGAGCATGACAATTGAGGGAGCTCTAGATAAGCCAGCGTTGCAATGAACTAACAGGCGATCGTTTTGCAACTTGCACTTGTGAATGTATTCCAGGGCTTCACTAATTATCGGACTAGATAATAAGTCAAAGTTAGTTTCATCGAAGACGTCCAGCACCAAATGAGATTTAATCAAAAGATTTACGGCGCTGTCCAATTCAAAGTCAGAAAGTAGAGATAAGACGTGAGTTATTCTATGATGAGAAATTAAACTCACATCACTTGGAACGTCTTGAGAAGAAATAAAAAGCCACGGACGAATTTCTCCAACACTGAAATCTGGTTTGGTGTCTACTACGAATCCATACCCACGGTTCGGAAATGTTGAGCTATTCCTACCTACTATAGGATCCGATCCTTTATTTTCAAGTAAAGTTATGACGCCATCAGTTTTTGTCAATTTTGTTTCTGTCGGCTTCAAGCCCTTTCTAATTTTCGAAAGTAATAGATCTTGCAAGGACGATGGAGTAGTTGAGGAATTTAAACCGTCATTTTTTAAATCTGGGTTTTGCTCAGCAGCCATTCTGGAACAAGCTCTGCTTACAACAATTTTTTGTTGAATACATCAATAGAGCTTACTTGATTGTTTGAGCAGAATGGATAGAAGGACGCATAGTCTATGAAAGTGGCCCTCTGAGAATATCAATATGTTTATAGTTCACAGATTTTAGAAATAAACCTTCTGGGAGAGAGCCAGAAATACACCCTGGCCATGAACTGTCGTTTGGATTGCTCAACAATTGTAAAATATCATTGGATGAGATAATTCCTCGTCCTACTCCCAACAAAATTCCCACCATTCGCCGAACCTGTACAATCATTCAAAAATAGAGTACTTAATTAATGAGAAGGCTTCGTCGGAATACATGGGTGTGGTTTAATTAATGGGACATTGGGACTTGAATTAATACGAACGGAGGTTGTAGATTCCCATTCCCATCACCAATGTACATTATCATATTATGCATAAATTCAAATTTATACCTGTCTTCGAAGGAACCCACTTCCTTCAACATGAAAATCATAAAAGTCCAACTTGTTACAAGCCGGATCCCGGTAATAATATGTCGGCACGTCAAAATTTTCGAAGTCAATCTTAGATTTTGAAAATGAAAATTTGAAAATTGTTTTTATCAGATCCTCCTCTTTCAAAGGTTCTCTGTTCCCTCTTCCTTTAATGGATGTTGTGGCAAAAGTCGCAAAACTTCGGAAATTCCATTTTCCTAGAAATACTCGACAAGCTTGCTGAACGGCTTCTACATCAAATGGCTGTGGTACAACTTGAGCTTTATATAGTTCCGTAATCGGCATGAAAGCACTTAATTTCATAAATGAATAACAATTTTCAAAATCTGCAACACATAAAATTAACTCACTTAAGTAGCATGCATACCTCTCGATAATAAGTTTATAATGTTGATTAAAATTACCGTTGGTTTTAGCTAAAGCTATCCTGTAATTATAAGTTCTTGAATAAGCATTCCGACAATTAAATTCAATTGGAACTTCTGCCACTCTTTGAATACGGATATCCGTCTGGTGTTTTTCCAAAAAGTAATTCAGAGACATGCATATTTTTTCTGGAGAGAAGGGGGAGACGGAAAAGTCATTATCGCTGACTTCAAACTGGACGGTGGAAGATAAGGCATGAACACCGCTGTCGGTACGCGAACTGTTGTGGACAGCGACCTCATTTAATTGCAACACTTTCCTCAGTGCTTGTTCTAAAACTCCTTGAACCGTGTGGTACTCCGGAACGACTCTTCTCAAGTCCCCTTTCACTGTTCTGCTGGTTAGCAATTGTAGTCCCCTGCAGAACATATATTTGATATTATACAAATTAAATGAGATTAGTTACTATACTTATAGTGAGTTAGTGCGTGTGGTGCGAGAAACCAACCGCCCCCTTCATCTTTAGCAACATTATTGCATTGCCCGGAGGTCAGGGTTTCTCGCTATTATGCTCCACACGCACATCACATAACTAATCCACTTTAAGTATAGTTAATTATTAGTCATCAGTCTTATCAGTAGACTCTGATGATTCAGGTAATCTTCTACAAATTGTAGACTGCAAATTGCAGCCTATGCCGGATAACTTACTGATAGTTTGTTCCCAAGTAGGAAATGTACATGAGCAGTTTGCGCATTTGTAATTTCTTGGCAAATATAAAACAAATGAAGAATTATTGCACTTTAAATATTTTGATAATACCTTAATTACAAACACGAACTGGAATGCAACTTGGCTAGGGCGAGATTGGATTATTGTAAAACCCGGCGAGTCTTAATTGAATATGAACAAAGTCAACGTTCCACATATTTTAGCGTCCACGTCCTCGTACAATGGCGTCCCAGCGTCCACTTTTATATTTTAGCGCCCACCGTCCTTATACGCTAGCGTTTTCAGACTTTAACCCTCACCGTCCTTTAGGAATTTTGAAAACTTTAGCGTCCAGAAATCTCACAGTGCCCAAAATTTTGATGTTGCCCTAAAACTCTCTCATTTTCCCAAAAGTCTTTCGTTACCCCAAAATTTCTGCAATTACCTGTCTTTCGTTACTGCAAAAATCTTTCATTACCAATCTCTCAAAAATCTATCATCACCAAAGAAAGATTTTTTTTCCTTGAGGAACACATGAGGAACACCGAGGAACACGACCCGGAACACGTGTTCCAAGGTGTTCCAAGCTTGTTCCTTGAGGAACACATGAGGAACACCGAGGAACACATGAGGAACATCGAGGAACACGACCCGGAACACGTGTTCCAAGGTGTTCCAAGCTTGTTCCTTGAGGTACACATGAGGAACACCGAGGAACACATGAGGAACATCGAGGAACACGACCCGGAACACGTGTTCCAAGCTTGTTCCTTGAGGAACACATGAGGAACAACCCGGAACACGTGTTCCAATGTGCTCCAAGCTTGTTCCTTGAGGAACACATGAGGAACACCGAGGAACACATGAGGAACACCGAGGAACACATGAGGAACATCGAGGAACACGACCCGGAACACGTGTTCCAAGGTGTTCCAAGCTTGTTCCTTGAGGAACACATGAGGAACACCGAGGAACACATGAGGAACATCGAGGAACACGACCCGGAACACGTGTTCCAAGGTGTTTCAAGCTTGTTCCTTGAGGAACACATGAGGAACACCGAGGAACACATGAGAAACATCGAGGAACACGACCCGGAACACGTGTTCCAAGGTGTTCCAAGCTTGTTCCTTTAGGAACACATGATGAACACCGAGGAACACATGAGGAACATCAAGGAACACGACCCGGAACACGTGTTCCAAGGTGTTCCAAGCTTGTTCCTTGAGGAACACATGAGGAACACCGAGGAACACATGAGGAACATCGAGGAACACGACACGGAAAACGTGTTCCAAGGTGCTCCAAGCTTGTTCCTTGAGGAACACATGAGGAACACCGAGGAACACCTGAGGAACATCGAGGAACACGACCCGGAACACGTGTTCCAAGGTGTTCCAAGCTTGTTCCTTGAGGAACACATGAGGAACACCGAGGAACACATGAGGAACATCAAGGAACACGACCCGGAACACGTGTTCCAAGGTGTTCCAAGCTTGTTCCTTGAGGAACACATGAGGAACACCGAGGAACACCTGAGGAACATCGAGGAACACGACCCGGAACACGTGTTCCAAGGTGTTCCAAGCTTGTTCCTTAGGAACACATGATGAACACCGAGGAACACATGAGGAACATCAAGGAACACGACCCGGAACACGTGTTCCAAGGTGTTCCAAGCTTGTTCCTTGAGGAACACATGAGGAACACCGAGGAACACATGAGGAACATCGAGGAACACGACACGGAAACGTGTTCCAAGGTGCTCCAAGCTTGTTCCTTGAGGAACACATGAGGAACACCGAGGAACACATGAGGAACATCAGGAACACGACCCGGAACACGTGTTCCAGGTGTCCAAGCTGTCCTTGAGAACACATGAGGAACAACCCGGAACACGTGTTCCAAGTGTCCAAGCTTGTTCCTTGAGGAACACATGAGGAACACCGAGGAACACATGAGGAACATCGAGGAACACGACCCGGAACACGTGTTCCAAGGTGTTCCAAGCTTGTTCCTTGAGGAACACATGAGGAACACCGAGGAACACATGAGGAACATCGAGGAACACGACCCGGAACACGTGTTCCAAGGTGTTCCAAGCTTGTTCCTTGAGGAACACATGAGAACACCGAGGAACACATGAGGAACATCGAGGAACACGACCCGGAACACGTGTTCCAAGGTGTTCCAAGCTTGTTCCTTGAGGAACACATGAGGAACACCGAGGAACACATGAGGAACATCGAGGAACACGACCCGGAACACGTGTTCCAAGGTGTTCCAAGCTTGTTCCTTGAGGAACACATGATGAACACCGAGGAACACATGAGGAACATCGAGGAACACGACCCGGAACACGTGTTCCAAGGTGTTCCAAGCTTGTTCCTTGAGGAACACATGAGGAACACCGAGGAACACATGAGGAACATCGAGGAACACGACCCGGAACACGTGTTCCAAGGGTGTTCCAAGCTTGTTCCTTAGAACACATGAGGAAACGAACACTAGGACATCAGAACACCCGGACAGTGTCCAGGTGCCAAGCTGTTCCTGAGGAACACATGAGGGAACACATGAGGACATCAAGGAACACGACCCGGAACACGTGTTCCAAGGTGTTCCAAGCTTGTTCCTTGAGGAACACATGAGGAACACCGAGGAACACCTGAGGAACATCGAGGAACACGACCCGGAACACGTGTTCCAAGGTGTTCCAAGCTTGTTCCTTGAGGAACACATGAGAACACCGAGAACACATGAGGAACATCAAGGAACACGACCCGGAACACGTGTTCCAAGGTGTTCCAAGCTTGTTCCTTGAGGAACACATGAGGAACACCGAGAACACATGAGGAACATCGAGGAACACGACACGAAAACGTGTTCCAAGGTGCTCCAAGCTTGTTCCTTGAGGAACACATGAGGAACACCGAGGAACACATGAGGAACATCGAGGAACACGACCCGGAACACGTGTTCCAGGTGTCCAAGCTTGTTCCTGAGGAACACATGAGGAACAACCCGGAACACGTGTTCCAATGTGCTCCAAGCTTGTTCCTTGAGGAACACATGAGGAACACCGAGGAACCATGAGGAAACCGAGAACACATGAGGAACATCGAGGAACACGACCCGGAACACGTGTTCCAAGGTGTTCCAAGCTTGTTCCTTGAGGAACACATGAGGAACACCGAGGAACACATGAGGAACATCGAGGAACACGACCCGGAACACGTGTTCCAAGGTGTTCCAAGCTTGTTCCTTGAGGAACACATGAGGAACACCGAGGAACACATGAGGAACATCGAGGAACACGACCCGGAACACGTGTTCCAAGGTGTTCCAAGCTTGTTCCTTGAGGAACACATGATGAACACCGAGGAACACATGAGGAACATCAAGGAACACGACCCGGAACACGTGTTCCAAGGTGTTCCAAGCTTGTTCCTTGAGGAACACATGAGGAACACCGAGGAACACATGAGGAACATCGAGGAACACGACCCGGAACGTGTTCCAAGGTGTTCCAAGCTTGTTCCTTGAGGAACACATGAGGAACACCGAGGAACACATAAGGAACATCGAGGAACACGACCCGGAACACGTGTTCCAAGGTGTTCCAAGCTTGTTCCTTGAGGAACACATGAGAACACGAGGAACACATGTGGAACATCGTGGAACACGACCCGGAACACGTGTTCCAAGGTGTTCCAAGCTTGTTCCTTGAGGAACACATGAGGAACACCGAGGAACACATGTGGAACATCGAGGAACACGACCCGGAAAACGTGTTCCAAGGTGCTCCAAGCTTGTTCCTTGAGGAACACATGAGGAACACATGAGGAACATCGAGGAACACGACCCGGAACACGTGTTCCAAGGTGTTCCAAGCTTGTTCCTTGAGGAACACATGAGGATCGCCGAGGAACACATGAGGAACATCGAGGAACACGACCCGGAACACGTGTTCCAAGGTGTTCCAAGCTTGTTCCTTGAGGAACACATGAGGAACACCGAGGAACACATGAGGAACATCGAGGAACACGACCCGGAAACGTGTTCCAAGTGTTCCAAGCTTGTTCCTTGAGGAACACATGAGGAACACCGAGAACACAGTGGAACATCGTGAACACGACCCGGAACACGTGTTCCAAGGTGTTCCAAGCTTGTTCCTTGAGGAACACATGAGGAACACCGAGGAACACATGAGGAACATCGAGGAACACGACCCGGAAACGTGTTCCAAGGTTGCTCCAAGCTTGTTCCTTGAGGACACATGAGGAACACATGGGAACATCGAGGAACACGACCCGGAACACGTGTTCCAAGGTGATCCAAGCTTTTCCTGAGGGAACACATGAGGAACACCGAGAACAAAGAGGAATACGAGGAACACATGAGGAACATCGAGGAACACGACCCGGAACCCGTGTTCCAAGGTGTTCCAAGCATGTTCCTTGGGAACACATGAGAACACAGTGAGGAACATCGAGGAACACGGACTCGAGAAACACGGTCCAGTGTTCCAAGTTTGTTCCTGAGAACACATGAGATCCCGGAGGAACCAGAACACATGAGGAACATCGAGGAACCACGACGCCGGAACACGTGTTCCAAGGGGTTCCAAGCTGTTCCTTGGAGGAAACACATGAGGAACACCGAGGAACACATGAGGAACATCGAGGAACACGACCCGGAACACGTGTTCCAAGGTGTTCCAAGCTTGTTCCTTGAGGAACACATGAGGAACATCGAGGAACACGACCCGGAACACGTGTTCCAAGGTGTTCCAAGCTTGTTCCTTGAGGAACACATGAGGAACACCGAGGAACACATGAGGAACATCGAGGAACACGACCCGGAACACGTGTTCCAAGGTGTTCCAAGCTTGTTCCTTGAGGAACACATGAGGAACAGACCCGGAACACGTGTTCCAAGGTGTTCCAAGCTTGTTCCTTGAGGAACACATGAGGAACACCGAGGAACACATGAGGAACATCGAGGAACACGACCCGGAACACGTGTTCCAAGGTGTTCCAAGCTTGTTCCTTGAGGAACACATGAGGAACACCGAGGAACACATGAGGAACATCGAGGAACACGACCCGGAACACGTGTTCCAAGGTGTTCCAAGCTTGTTCCTTGAGGAACACATGAGGAACACCGAGGAACACATGAGGAACATCGAGGAACACGACCCGGAACACGTGTTCCAAGGTGTTCCAAGCTTGTTCCTTGAGGAACACATGA